GAGGGGCTAATCATGATAATTGTCATCTCCCAATTTAAACTGCAAGTTTTAAAATACTTTTTACCCACAATTTTATAAAATTCAATTATTTTATCTGTAATTATTTGTTCGTTGTATAAGGTATATTATTTAGGTAAATTATCTACTAAGAGTAACCTAAATCAGTGCTTACTTACCTAGATCCAGCTGGAGAATTGGTCTCTTAAATTGGGTTGTTTTAGTATACAGTGGATTGCTATAACAGACTACTATAATTAGGAGAAAATGTACAGTCTGTAGGTACCTATTTTATTCTATTCTTTAGCAAATCCCATAGACTTACATTTATCATCCCCAAAAGTCAACAAATACAAATACCTCTATCAAAAAGGGTTCATTCTGACAAACTGCGCTTGCATCCTGTAAAGCCTGCTCATAGCTCTCCATGGTTAAATGTAACTCCGCTCGCAACAGCATAATGCAATTATCACCAGGAACTGAAAGACAAGAGGAATACAAGTAAAAATCACTGCATTTAAGAACTGTCTTTAAGTCACTTAAAATACTACATTACAAAATAAATATGAAAACAAAAAAAATGATTCCTTCTTCAAATCATATTTAGAGTTTGGTAGTTTGATAAGTACATTTTACAGAACCTCTCTCAGGAAAACAGACAAGATCAGCAAGACTTCAAAATTCACCAGGAAAAACAGATTGCTGTTGAGTGTTGCTACACACATCCTAGCCACAACTTAATCTCCGATAACTATCTCAGCAAATACTAAATCATCTTAATGCCGTTTTTAAGGAAAAAATAAAACAGTGGCCGTTGATTCTGATTCACGGTGACTCCTGTATTTCAGACAGGGCTTCGAACTCATTCTTCCCGTATCAATCATGGCTGAGAAAGCAACACTTGAACAGACCCAAATTTTTTAAATTTCGGTGAGATCGAACAGGAAAAATTACAGGTCAAGGCCCTGCTAGATAGAAACTTAAATCTCGCTCTTAGAAAACAAGGGCAGCGTTCACCTTGTATAGCGACCAAATCTCTTGCCCCCGGCTTTTGCGCAGTTGGAAACAGTGCCTCACTCAAAGATGGCGGCTGACCACAGCACGCTGAATGTGCGTCACTCTCCTCAGCCCTGCCGATAACCCAATCTCACGCATCAGGTTCCTAAAGCGCTCATTACACCGCTTGCTGAGCCTCCCATTCCAGGGTTTCGACCTGTAATTTTTTCCCATTCCACTTATGGCTTTGGCTCACTCAAGCTTTAAAAGTTCAGGTCTGTTCTGGTCTTGTTTCACTGGCCGTTACTGAACTGGTTCGAACCAGTCTGAAGCCCTGGTTTCAGAGTAGACCACGGCTCCATAGGTTTTTCGCTGTGATCTTTCGGAAGTAGAGTGCCAAAGCTTTCTTCCCAGGCATCTCTGGGCAGATTCAAATCACCAGCTGCATTTATGTTTAGGAGTCGAGCACCAAACAGTCTGTGCCCCCCCCAGGGACTCCCTCAACGCTATTACTAGGTACTGTAGGAGCCCTAGGTGGCCCAATGGTTAAGCACTCGGCCGCTAACCAGACAGCTGGCAGAACCCATCCAGGGGCTCTGCAGGAGAAGAGACCTGGCACTTCGCTCCCGTGAAGTTTATTACAGCCTAGAAAACCCTCTGGAGTTCTACTGTCACATGGGGGCGCTATGAGAATCAAATAGACAGGACCCTCAACATTCCTAGGTATTCTTTAAAAAAGCCTGGTATTTTTTGGAACTGTACAAGGACATTCACGCTTGAGAATCAAGAGTAAAACGTGATCCGTTCTACAACTCTGTGGTGATGCACCCCCGTAATTACACCTACAGCATGTTCCCTTAATTGGAGAAAGGAGAAAAAAACACAACCTTCCGTTTCTCTAGATTCCTGGAACAAAAGAACGCTTGAGAATTACTCAGATGCTACCACCTACAGAAGCCCAGCCATGTCGAAGCCAAGAGTGACTTTCTATGAACCGATTTGTAATATATGAAGTGCTCACGTGGCAGGGCACCATGGAAACGTGACAAAGCCGAAGCGCATGAAAGCAGAACCGTCACAGCTGTGTTCATACCACTGGACCTGGTTCCCTTTAGCTATACCTACACTACAGAGCTCTGTAATAGGGTCAGAGCCATGTGATTCAGCAAACCGACAAATATTCTGAGCAACGAAGATGTACTCTCATCTCTTTGTTTAGTAAAGACTTTCACTTGGCTCCAAATCCTTTATCTTTGACTCTTAAACAACGTGGTCTTCTCTAAATGCTACTACTTCTGCTCTTAGGTTATGCAGGGAACTTAGCACATCTGCAAAAAAAAAAAAAAAAAAAACCCCACACATGCAAAAGAATGTCAGGGAATGACACTGTAAGCAGGTACTACTTGAAGCGTGCTATTGCAAACACATGTGAAATAGAAGCTATGACAAGAAAGGGGGAAGGGGAGAAGAGCAGCAGGAATAAGGACTCAAAACAATAAAGGAGAGTTTTCCAAGAAGTCACTGCTTGCTACAGCAGGGTCAGCAAACTTTTCCTGTAGAGGACTAGATAGTAAATATTCTAGAGAAAAAGTTTTACAGAATTTTTATTAATGAAATTCAAACCATAGTAATAATTATAGCCCTTTCTTTCCCCCATAGTTTTTGTAATCCAGGTCTACTAAGAATGGAATTTGAAGGTATTAGAGTTCAAAATCAGCATTTCCCATCATCAAAATCAACTATAAATTGTTCGTCAGCTAATTTTACATATTTTGTCTTTGAAAAGGCACATAAGCACTATGAAATACAAATTTTATCCACAAGTGTCATTTTCTATTAAACTTATTTATTGCTAGGAAGGCAGTTATAGAATTTTATTGGATTATTCTATTTGCTAAATTAGTATTCCATCATATTGCAGATGAACACTGTTCAACTGAAAATTAGTTGGAATCTACTCAACTGCACAGTTAAATGTATCTTTGAAACAGAAACGTTGGGATTTTTCTGCCTCCCTACAATAATGCTATTGGAATTGTAGTTTGAGCTTGGAAAATAGACCCGCTGCAAATTTGGGTGGGAAAAAGACCTCACATCTTGTTCCCAGTTTGTGAAAGCAAACTTCCTACCGAAAAGAACCAAGAAATCTGGAAAAAAGTGTAAGAACCATTTAAAGGCATGGAAAAGCAACTAATGCAGGCAATGATGAGGAGTTTAGCTCCACATTCACTCCAGCTTTTCCCTGAGGCTGTTTTCCAATTCACAGTGTGGGGGAACAGAACCTAAAGTCAAAGTTTGGGACTACCGACACAGTGCATATTTATTACTAGGGAAGAGGCCCTATAGAAAAGTGAGCCCCCAAATCACAGGGGACTTTACATAACCTGCTGTGTCAGTCTCGTCTCGACAGGCTAATATCACTGCAGCAATAAACCAACATTAAAGCTTACAAATTAATTTCTACCGACATGTTCCTAACAAGCCAGGCAGTAAAGGCTTTGATCCATTGTCTTCTCACTCCGGGACCCAGGTTCTACTCATATGTCTCGAGTTTTGCTGATTACAGATTTCAAAACTATTGTTAAAATCAATTGCACCTGCTTCTTTCCACCTTTTGTAATGTGGCTACTGGAAATTTTAAAGTCAGAGGTGGCTCACGCGATATTTCTATTAGGCAGTCCTGCCCTACACTACATAAATAGAACAACTGAAAAACTCAAAAACAGCCTGTTAAAGTATGGATTTGTTGGTTGCAAAAATTCCACAGAATATATTACATAAAGCAATTTAACTGCTTTATTCCAGCAGAGAATTCCCTAATTTAGATACAGCTCCGATTTAGTGGTTTACTACTGAATTGTAGTTTATTTTGATATGAGACAAAACTGCAGTCGCTTCGAAGTTATGTGTGTGCCTTCACACACAGAAAGAACCTCAACCCTAAATTTAAAATAAAATGCATACTCACAGAACACAGAAAGATGCTTTAGTAACAAAAGTCACTAAAAGTCACCATCAACTCCATGGCAAAGGACAGAGATGTATACACAGAAGGAGAGAGAAGTCTCTGGGTACCACGAACTGTTTGCCCTTGATTAACAACCTAAAAGCTGGCGGTGCGGACCCACCCAGCAGCACCATGGAAGGAAATTACAGCGGAGAAACCCTCTGGAGCCCTTCTACTCTAACACATGGGACTGCCAGAAGTGAAATCAACTCCACAGCAATGGGTTTGGTTTTTAGTTTACATATATATATACTTTTTTTTTTAAGAGGAAAAGTGGCCGCGGAGTGGACTCTAACTTATGCACGTCACAGCAGAACTCTGCTTCATAAGGTTTTCAATGTCTGATCTTTGCGAAGTAGTCCGCCAAGCCTTTCTTTCGAGGGCTTATGGGTGAACTCAGACCACCAACCTGTGGTACCCGTGAACACGTTAACCCTTTGGACTACTCGAACTTCTAAAGTCACATATAACCACTTACTATCGGAGTCAACTCGACTCTTACCAACTCCATGTAATTATATATACAGTACTACAAAACCCGTGAACTCAATAAACAACTCTACCACCACCCGCCCGCCCACCACAACTGCCGCGAGTTATACTAATTCAGAGTCAAGTATAATTACAGAAGTTCGCTCTTCCTTTAAAGCCGGCTGGAATCCGGGTGGCGCAGTGTTTAAGAGCTAGGGCTGCTAACCAGAAGGTCGGCAGTTCAAGCCCACCAGCCGCTCCTTTGAAACTATGGGCCACGCCTGCTCTGTCTATAAGATAGTGAAGTCAGAATCGACTCTACTGCGACAGGTATTTTTTTCTTTTTTAACCACTGAGTGGACCCTGGACTCATGCCGACCTCGTCTGGTTTTCAACAGCCGATTTATTGGGAAGTAGATTGCCAAGCCTTTCTTCCCAGGGTGCCTCTAGGTAGACTCTAACTTTCAACCTTTAGGTTAGCAGCTGTTTGCACCACCCCGGGATCGTCACGAGTCAGAGTAGACCAGGTGGCATCTGGAATCCTTTAAATTAACATTCATAGGTAGTGGGTGGGGGGAAAGACAGAGACTGGTGTCGGTCATAGGCTTGAATAAGAACAGAAAATAAAAAGTCACACACTAGTTAGTGTAACTAATAAGCTAACCACGCCGTAACAGAGTTTAATGCCTTTTGAGACAAAAACAGGAAATACCACGTACTTAAAGCACCGCAGAGTAGAGGAGATTCTTTACACTACCTGGAACCCCAAAAACCAATTCTGCTCCTATCATCCACAAGGCACTCAGTCCATTCTGCGAGTAGGTACTAGTTATCTGCGTGTTTCCACACGACTCGCAAAATCCTCTAGTATCCTCTCAATCTCAAGCAGCTGAGAAAGTTTAAAGGACGTCTTGGCCATACACCGCCGCGACTCGCAGCAAGGCGACACCGCGGAATACTTACCTGGCTCCTGAAAAAGACTCACAGCGAGCGAGCAGGGCACACCCGGCCGCCCTGGTTGCAAGGTGGGGCTGTTAACACGTTCCTCCAGAAGCCTGGACAAAGCTTCCGAAAAGGAACTCTTGGTTTACCCAGTCACCCCCCCAAATCCTCGCGCTCACATGGCCAGATAAGCTAGTAGCAGGGCCAGGCCCCACAGCAGTACTTACCCAGGTCCAGGGCGTGCTGGCACATGAGAAGCGCGGCCCCAGCTTGCTGCTCGTGCTGCAGATTCCGCGCCTGGTCGGCCAGCGTGCGCGCGCGGGTCTCGGTTGGGAAGCACTTCTCCAGCAGTCTGCTGAGCACCACGTTGACTTGCGGCTCCCGCGACAGCGCGGCACCCGACTCCACGCAGCGCCCGCAGACCGTGCGCCCGCACAGCAGAGTCACCGGCTTGTAGAGCAGCCGCCAGCAGCGCGGGCAGCCAAGCAAGGCGCGGAGCGTGGCAGGCGTGGCGGCCGCCGCGGCCCGGGCAGGCGAGGGCGGTCGCCCCCAGCGCAGCGCCTCGAGGTCGCGGCCTGGCTGCAGAGCCGGCAGGTGCCACTCGTACATGCGCACGACGCGCGCCAAGCCGATAACCAGGTGGCCCAGCTCATGAGGTTGCAACGCCTCGAGCTGCGCCGCCGCGCGGAAAGCACCCAGGGCGTAGGCAACGTCGCCCGATAGGGCCATCGAATTCCCCGTCCGCAGGCACAGGCCACGGTCGGGCCGGGCCACCCGCGGCAGTAGTAAGCGGAAGATTTCGGCGGCCAAATCGTACTCGCCCCTACGGAAGGCCTCGTCACCTTTCGCTATACGCACAGGAATCGAGTCCCCATAATCGCAGCCAAGACACTGATGCGGTAGCGGCACCGAGTCGGATCCACCGGGCGTGGGGCTCATGGCCGTAGGCTTGCAGCAGTGTCGCCTCACAGAAAAGCAGTAGAGATGGTGCGCGGACTCTCAGATCCGGGCAGCTAGAGAGATATCACCTCCCTCACCACGAGCCAGGCGCGTCTGGCACAGGCGCGCAACGAGCCTCGCGACACGAGGTTGGGGGCGGGCACAAGGCGCAGGCGGTGGGATCTCTGCGGGGCGCAACACCCCCCGGAGGCGGGGTCAGAGCCAGCGGGCACAGGCGTGGCTAGGCGCCACCCGCGTTCCCCTAGCGCTCATCCCGAAGCCTGCCCAAGTGAACCTCCCTCCTTGCCCCGTGTTACTTATGTAACACCCAGTGGTAGGTCTGAACGCGGCGACCCTTCCTCCCCGACCGCGTCTCCTCCACACCCCCGCTTTCTTCCTCTGGGGCGGCCTCATGTGTATTTGCGCCCGTGCTCATTTATACGCGCCTTTTTCACCGCGCTTCCGCTTCCCCGGGAGCCGCTGCGGCTACGCTGGGAACAGGTGTGCTCGATGGTCGGGCGCCGATCTCGCCCATACAGCGGTACCTGCCTTCCGTGGAGGCAGCCTGTATCCCATTGTTATTAGGTGCCGTTTAGTCGGTTCCAACTCAAAACGACCCTTCGTTCAAGTTAACAAGCTGTGGCTGTGGTTGAGAACCCAGGAAAAGTTAGCAAGCATGTTAAGTATCCCCAGCTTTGATTTGGGAAGTTCTTTTAAATGACTGGGAAGCCAGAGGTAGGCACTGAACGGAGCCTTCATGAATTTTCTCCTAGTGGAATTCTAAAACAGAGACGTCTTAAAACTCAACGCTAATGTTGACAGCACGTAAGGAAATACCAAACCTACGTGCTGGGAGGAGGAGGAATTTGAGAAACGGACAACTGTATTGTGCCCTTGATAAAGCAGAAGTAAAATCTTTAAAAACTTCTCCTGACATGGAGTACTGCAGACAGAAGTTGCTAGAGGGAGGGAGTTTAAAGCTTTCTTTGTGTACAAGCAATGATGAAAAGTGATCCTTCTGTACTTAATAACCAGTTTTTAGAATTTCTCATTGTGTATAGTCTGTTCTCCACTCCTTGTTGTTTTGTTCTATGTATTTGAATGCAGTAAAATGTATTAAGATATTCCAGAATCCATGCTGTTCATTATTTCAAACTGAAATTTCTAAATTTGTTAGGTTTTTGTACTGCTGGCTAAAGAAAAATATGAAGTACCTGGAAGAAATCTGGCTTTGGGACAGGGGAAATCCTTCATTGAAAATTATCTCATTAGTCTAAATGGGCAGCTCCTGTCCGGAGGCGAGATGAGAAGGCAGAGAGGGTCAGGAGCTGGTTGAACGGACACGGGAAATCAAGGGTGGAAAGGAGTGTGCTGTCACAGTATAAGGAGAGCAGCTAGGGTCGCACAGCAATGTGTGTATAAATTTTTGTATGAGAAACTGACTTAACTGTAAACTTTCACTTAAAGCACAATAAAAAAGGAAGAAAATGATCTCATTAAAGGTGTGGAGAGAAAATTGTAGACCAGTTTGGAAAAGGGAAAGAGACAACTCTGGCCAGCCCTCTAGACCTCTAATGAAGAAACTAAACCCCAAAGAACAGCCTCCCCGGTTTCCGCGCGTGATTTTCCCCCTCAGTTGTCTATTTTGACTGATAACAGTTGTACTTGCGGTACGTTTTGGTCTGTCTCTCATTTCTGAATTCTTCCAAACTCCCTTTTTAATCACTCTTTAGGACAAGAGCTCGGCTGCTAACCAAAAGGTCAGCAGTTCGAATCCACCAGCTGCTCCTTGGAAACCCTATGGGGCAGTTCGCCTTTGTCCTACAGGGTCGCTATTAGAATCCACTCGGGAGCAATGGTTTGCTTTTTTTGAGGGGATGGGGAGGTGGGGGGTTAGGTTTTTATCTCTTTATTCAGTAACAATTCACTTGTATTTGAAAGTTGCTTACACAGCAAATTCACACAACCAACAACCGGGAAGCAAGAGGAAAAACAGCATCTGAGGAGTTAAAATTGGCACAACAAAGACAATATACTAAAGATTATGAAACCTTATGATCCTAAAGCAAACAAAAACCAAACCCATTGCCGTCCAGTCGATTCCAGCTCATAGCAGCCCTATAGGACAGAGTAGAACTGCCCCATAGGGTTTCCAAGGAGGGGCTGGTGGATTCCAACTGCCAACTTTTTTGTTAGCAGCCGAGCACTTATCCACTATGCCAGCAGTGCCTATTTATTCTTATTTTAGACAACTTTTTAGCAAGAGAGCAGAAAGGAGAAGCTTGCTGGAAGTATAGCCACCGGGAACAAGAAGAATTTAAAGCTAAAATATTACATAATGTAATGTGAGATTTATAACATGTAGAAATAAAATACATGGCAGAAATAGCACAAAGACCATGAGGGAAGAACTGGAAGTACACTGTGAATCAGGTTTATATTACATGTGAAATGGTATATCCCTTAAAGAAGACTGTGATAAATGGCAGATGTATACTCTAAACCCTAAAGCGACCACCTTAATAATGAAGAACTATAGCTAAAAAGGCAACAAACGAGATAAAATGAAATTATTTAAAAAAAAAAAAACTATTCATGCAAAACCCAGCAGAAAATGAGGGGAAAAGACACACCTAAATCTATGCTGCCCTAAAAAATGCCCGCCTTAAATATAAAGATAAGAATAAGTTAAAGCTAAAAGGAGGGATAAAGATGTCTTATGTAATCTTTCCATTTTATTTTTGACAAATGCCAGTTTTCCTTGATTCATATTTCATACATTCCATGTTCTGATTACTAATGGATGTTTGCAGCTGTTTCTTCTCATTTTGAGTCGTGCCACATGAGCAAATTAAATGGAATGCAGGCTTAATCCTGAAGTACAACGCTGTCATTGATAGGATAACATCCATACACCTATAAGGAACACCAGTTAATGTGACTGCTATTCAAATTTCTGCACCAAACGCTAACACCAAAGATGAAAAAACTGAAGATTTTTACCAACTTCTGCAGTCTGAAATTGATCAGACATGCAATCAAGATGCATTAATAATTACTGGTGATTGGAATGTGAAAGTTGGAAACGAAGAAGGCTCAGTAGTTGGAAAATATGGCCTTGGTGATAGAAATGACGCCTGAGATCACATGATAGAATTTTGCAAGAACAACGACTTATTCACTGGAAGTACCTTTTTTTCAACAACATAAACGGCAACTATACACGTAGACCTCACCAGATGGAGTGTACAGGAATCAAACTAACCAAATCTCTGGAAAGAGATGATGGAAAAGTTCAGTATCATCAGTCAGAACAAGGCCAGGGGCCAACTAAGGAACAGACTATGAATTGCTCATATGCAAGTTCAAGTTGAAGCTGAAGAAAAGTCCACAAGAGCCAAAGTATGACTTTGAGTATATGCCACCTGAATTTAAAGACCATCTTAAGAATGGATTTGACATATAGAACAGAATGACTGAAGACCAGATGAGTTGTGGGATGACAACAAGGACATCATACATAAAGAAAGCGAAAGATCATTAAAAAGACAAAAGGAAAAAAAAAAAACCCAAAATGGATATCAGAAGAGACTCTGAAACTTGCTTTTGCATGTAGAGTAGCTAAAGCGAAAGGAAGAAATGATGAAGTAAAAGAGCTGAACAGAAGATTTCAAAGGTTGGCTTGAGAAGACAAAGTAAAATATTATAATGGAATGTGCAAACACCTGGAGTTAGAAAACCAAAAGGGAAGAACACACTTTGCATTTCTCAGGCCAAAAGAACTGAAGAAACAAATTCAAACCCCAAGGTGCAGTTTTATAGAACTCTGTGGGCAAAAAAATTGAATGATGCAGGAGCATCAATGAAGGTGGAAGGACCTGTTTCACCATAAAGCTTTGTCTAAGGCTTTGATTGTTTATGGAAAACATAGGGCACAACCACAGTTTCTCTTTATTACTTAAATTTCATCGCTGTTGATTTGGTTCTGTGTTACAAAAAAAAAGTGCAACTATCAAAACTAAAAAATTATTGAGTAATATTGCTATTCTGCTCATGTTTAATACACAGTATATCAATCATACTTTCCAAGCTGGTGAAATGAAGATAAAGTTGAAATCACAGAAGATGCAAATGACTTCAAAATCAACACAGTGTGTGCTGAGACTTTTTGTGACTAATACCACACAGCTGTGATCAATGAACTATGGGTTTTGAATGGGACCTAGACGGTTAGCACTGCTCCTTGAGCTGAACTTCTGCACTGTTCATAATTTTTAAAGTGTGTAGTTAATATTATGCCCGTTATGGTCCTTTCTGCCATTCTTACAAATATGAGCCCATTTGCAAAACAGAAAGCTAATAATCAGTAATAGCCCTAGAAACGAGGTTAACTATGTTTAGCATTGACTGATCTTGCTCTAACCTTAAAATTTTGTGATCATTGGCCTCTGCTGGATTTATTCTAAAGCCCCCTCAAAATTATCTAACCATTTTTAATATCAACATTACCCTGGAGCACTGGTGGCGCAGTGGTTAACAGCTAACCAAAAAGGTGGGTAGTTCAAATCCACCAACCGCTTCTTGGAAACCCTATGGGGCAGTTTTACTCTGTCCTATAGGGTCGCTATGAGTTGGAAGGGACTCGACAGCAATGGGTTTGGTTTTGTTTGTTTGTTTAGCCACTACTGTATGCATTATTGTTCGTTGGTGCTGTTTTTTATGCCTTCATAAAAATATGAATTTCTGTGAAGAAAAAAAAACCTTTGATCCAAAAAAAAAAAAAACCCTACCCCCCTCCTTCTGTAGCAAGAAACAAATTGCTTGTTCTTGAGAACGTCCCCAACAAGAATTTAGCAGAAGCAGGTATACTGATAGCATTTTGATGTTTTTGTTAACATTCCCAAACAATGTACTTTGAAATCAAAGTCACTTCTTAATCATTTTCACATGATTCTCCTGATGCTCATCCTCACACGTCACCATATTTTTAGCAAATAAAGAGTGCCTTCTACGTTCATTTGCCAGCCACATACCCCACCGCTAGGGCTCCTTTTCCAATATAAAGACCAAAGAAACCAAACCCGTTGCTGTTGAATCAGTTCCGACTGAGAGTGACCCTATAGGACA